CCACCACAGGAAACCCATACTCCGCTCGAAAAGGAAACAAAGCGCCAAGTATTTGTTGAAAAATGGAAATTTTTTCCTTAAAGATTTATATTACATATTGATAATATTAGAACAATTAAGCACAAGGAAAAAATCCACTGAAGAGCGAAATAACAGCACAGAAATATTCCCGCCAATTTTGTCATAACTTCGACGCGTCCGCACATCCGTGAAATCGATTTGCGAAGATGAAAAGCAATTTAGGCCCATCTTAAAAGTGATATTAGAAAAAAGGATTTTACTTCGATATTGTGTGGACATTTCGAAACCAAGACCATGCTAGCAGTTAGATTGAGAGAGATTAAAAAAAGAATCTACGTACAGTCTTGAATGAATTAATAAATTGATGAAACCTATGCTTGAAACAAGTATGGCTCTGTTAAAGACATACTTAGATAGTTCAGTTTCGTGCCGTTACTATCTAGTACCTAAGAACTATCTAAGTACATTTGGAGCCTCAAAGACAACAATCAAGACTACACATGTAAATGGAGTATTGAGTCGCGTGCGACACCTTACCGATGCGGCTCAAGAAAGTGTGACCTGTGCTTCACTGAAAAACTAACTATAATCAAGAACAACATTAACGCTATCCTAAACAAAAGAACTGAATTAATCTCAAAATGCCGACATAGAAATAAATTTCTCTTATGTAATACCCCTTAGGGATTTCCTCGATATAAATACGAGATGTGTAAAAATGTTCATTGTAGCCTGATGATTGTGTAAAAACATGAAACATGTTATGCGTCTTTGATTCCGTTAAAATCATATGTATCCTGCTCTACACAGTATCGAGCACTCTAATGAAAACTGGAATACCGACCACTGATAGATAGATAGATAGATAGATAGATAGTACAATATACTTTATTAATATGACCTGATTGATTACAGGTATTGTCAAAGTTTACAATTTTCTGTTAATTAATTTAAATTTACTTGATTTAAATGTTGAAAAAATTACAAATCAATTCTTGTTTGTTTGCTTTTTTTTCTAAACATAACTGAAACAATATAGAGCCGTAGCCATATGTTTTGAGAAAGGTCGCCCTTAGTTCAAAAACATTTTAATAAATTTGGAAACGTAGAATATATAGTTAACGTTTCATGATAGGTATATGAATATAAATTTGATAGGAATATCTAATGGATTATACTTCAGAAAGTTTTTCTTTTCTATAGCTGAAACATTTTGACAGAAATTTTGCTAAGTAGAAAATTACATTATCATCTGTGGATTTCATTAATTTGGTTATATAATTTTCGGAAAAATCAATTTTGTCATTTAGCTTTGACTGAAATTCTAGGCGAAGATTGGAGTATCCTTGACAATCAGAAATCATATGTTGCTCTGTTTCTATTTCCTCATTATTGCAAAAGAGACAAAATCTTTGCTGTTGCGGTGTTTTTGGTCTAGTGTGTCTTCCTGTTTCAATCGCTAATCTAATTCTAAATTTCGTGAGTTGCTGTCTTTCTTGAAAGTTATTTATAGTAGTTAGATATTTTTCTTCTTCGTAGTATTCTTTGAATGTCCCATAAAAGGAGAGTTTAGATGAGTTTTTTACCATAATTTTCCATTTTTTGAAATAATTATTTTTCATTGAGTTTTCTAGCTCACTTATAAAAGCATTATTAAAGGG